TGTGTGTGTATATATATATATATATATATATATATATATTCTTTTTTAAATATATTTTTGGGGCTAGATTGTGCCTTTTCTTAGAGATACAGAGGTGAAATGGGGAGATAGAGGGGATGACATTGCCTGATGGGTTCAGCCATCTGGCAGCCTGATTATTGTTCTTTTGAGCAGTTTTCATTTTCTGCAAATGAATCCTCTAGAGCAAATATTTTTATTTTGAACTATATAATAACAATATAAGAAATAAGGCAGTTCAATCAAATATTTCCTCCACATCATGTTCTAAATGAGTGTTGTAACTCAACACTCATTTAGATTAATTTGCCTCCTTCTCTTAAACTTCTTTGCAACAGATATTAGAAGGAAATGTGTATGCACATACACACACTTAGTTATTATCAGGCATGCTGATCCATATTTCATGATAAAACTATTAAAGTATCACATTTCAGTGGAATCGTCGCAGCAGCACCCGTTCAGATAAGATTAGCTGAAACCAAGCTGACTCTTTCTGATACTCCGTTATCAGATGTTCCACTACACAACGATAAGAGCTGTGACTCAAAATAATAAGAACAGAATTTACCCAGAATGCTCATCCAAATCGCTGAGGAGAAGGACACCAGGAGGAAACTTGTGGCTGCCATCAGGGCGCAGAACAACACCCGGAAACTAGAGAAACAGGAATGAGGCAGTACATCCACAAATACTAATGTATTATACATTACATTGTATTTAGCTGACGCTTTTATCCAAAGCGACTTACAGTAAGTGCATTCGACCAGGAAGATACAACCTTGAAGTACATCAGGTTTCATAGAGCCAAATATTTCAAGTGCTACTCAACTGGCTTTAGATACACCAGTCCTTTATTAGTATATAAGTGCTCAAACATTTAAACATGTACAAACATATAAACATGCTGTTGTTTGGACAACGTGCTCCTATGAACAGCCAATCGGATGTATAGCCAGCACAACCTGTACTAGAACGACTCCACTTTCATACACTTCCATCAATCAAACTGAATACTTTTATATATAAGACCACGGGAAAATGGTATGAAAGAGTTGAGTGAAACAGTAGCACGGTGAAGCCACTGGAAATGTTTAGTAAATGACATCAATGGTGCTAAATGTATCAATAAAACAGGTTAGAAGGACCCTAACCAGGTTAGAAGGACCCCAACCATCAGCAGCAGCCTAACCCTTTTCATCTGTGTAACTCAGGACTAATATCAGAGTATACTAATACACTGTATCAGCTGGAATATACACTACATGTTAGATTGTTTTGATATCTTCCTTTTGTCTTTCAATTGCACATTCATTCTTCAATGTCTTATTTCTATATAAATACATTTATTTTATCTTCTTGATTTAATTTCTCATATTTATACAAATATTTGTATATGTTATTTTTTATTTTACATGACTTAATTTAACTTCTTGTGTTTTTATAAATGTATTTATTTGATCTTTTTTATTTCATATTCTTACTTTAAATCCTTATTTCAATATAAATATTTCATTATATATTTGTTATTGATCTTTTATTTGATTTCCTTCTAAAAGGAATAAACATTGAAATGAAGTGTTGGGATATGAATTCAACATGGAACAACTGTTGACATTAACCAGGGTACAGGCAAATGTATCTTGAATGTATTTGAACTCAACTGAGCGACACCACTAAAGGTTTGTGTCCAGCACTGTTCACCCTGGACTTTGACGGACAGGTACACAAGTGTCTTACCCATAAGGCAGTTTGTGGATGACACAGGGAGCCACCAGCTTGATGATGAGCGTTGGGAGGATGTCCGCTAACAGCACAGCCTGAGGAGGACAGCGTCTTTTAAATCAATTGTGTTTTTATGTCACATTGTTGCAATTATGTGGGATATCTTTTATGGTTTTCAATACTATGAATGTGTGGCGATATATACTGTATGTTTTCTATGTGTGTAACAACGGCTTCGTTTCTCTGATTGTCAGTACCTCTTCACTCATCTCACTTCCTGTTTGCACACACACACACACACACACACACACACACACACACACACACACACACACACACACACACACACACACACACACACACACACACACACACACACACACACACACACACACACACACACACACACACACACACACACAGAAACAGGGTTACAGTCGTAGGGGCTGCTGCTGCTGTTCCCAGCCTGGACATCCACAGTCAGCGGGGATGGAGTCTACATATAACACAAGGGAATCATTTTGTGTTCATAAGGAGATACAGCTTCAAGGCATTGGCAATAACAAGACTCAGTGCAAATACTGAAATACTGATTGAACTGCTCACAGGTGAGGTGGCGTTCGCTGACTCTTGCTTTTTGAGGATGTCGTGTGCGGCGCTCAGCATTACCACATAGGCAAAGTTGTTGCACAACCCGAGGAGCCTGGGAGGATAACAGAAGAAGAGTTACATCATAATAATAATGCAGGGTAAGCACATTCACATGCATCAAGAACACACAGCTGAGCCACTGGTTGGTGGAAAAAGATGGTGGTGTTTAAAAGAGTAACTCCTGAATAAAAAGAAAAGACCAAAATATACCGTGCTCCAGTGTACAATCAGTGTTGTAGAGGAGTGACCTATATGCAGGAGTTCATAGGGATTTAAGTAGTATTTCATACTTTTTTTTTCCATTCATTTAACTACAATATTATTAATTCTGCTTCATTAAAGGAAAGGAATGATGTGCCTTTTTATTTCTTGTTTAGAATTCATTCTCTACCTGCACACCTTTCCTTTCAATCACATCTTGTTCAATAAACAGTCAAATAAATGTTAGACCTGTTCCTACTGTCTTTCAATTTAAATTTGATTTGAAAAACTCAATGAATTGGCATTTTACTGACATTTTGATATCATATTCTGTTATAATCTCATATAACATCTACATTGATCATTTGATCATTTTTCCGAAGCAGATTGCATCACTTTGGTAAGTAGCTTCAGTTAACCCTTAAGAAGCTTTGCTGTAGTCTACCTGTGTGAAGATATATGAATAAAGAATATAAACATTTATATGTACAGATATAAAACAACAATTACATTACATGTGTCCACAATGATGCCGAGTGCAAAGAGGGATGCAACAGGTTGGGGATGATGAATGTAACTTAACCCTTAGATGCATAAGTGGGTCTCTTTTGACCCAGTGAGGTATCTTTGTAATTACATTTTTTTATCATTTCATATTCCAGCTATTCCTCAAAAAACATGTTTTGGATATCATGCCATTCAAATGTTAATTTCAAATTGTATACATTTTAAGAAATTGTAGTTTTTGTATTACTAGCCCAAGCTTCCATTAGTGGGTCAAAAATGACCAGCATGCGAATTATGGAATTTATTTTGTAATAGTGTTTATTCCGTTAGACTTTCAGCTTTTGCAAACACTCACCAGAATCCAGTCCAGTTCCGCCATTTTGAGCAGCTGCCTGTGAACACACAGACACATGACTTTAGCCACTCATACAGCATATCAGTCTGTTTGCCAGCTCATAGAGTCCTATTGTGAATCCAGAAATGTTGAGTAATGTATAGTGTGGGTCCCCAGCACATAGAAACTGCCAGATGCTAACTTTCATATGTTGGGCAATTTGCAATGTGGACTACAGTTCAAGTTTGGGATATTTCTGGTTTGGTTTTGGAGGTTATTGAGGATGCTGATTCCATTTCTGTTCCAGTTTGAACCAGAACGTGGCAATATTTATACTCTCTGTTGGCTGATGTTTGCTGAATTTTGTGTCGATTTGAAAAGATCTAGGGGACTCTGGATCGTTGGAATTCGACATATTGCTTATTTATTTGTAAAAAAATCAAATGTCCACAGTAGAGATAATAATGTCATCTTGTGCTCTCTATATCCAATGCTCGCAACATTACTCATGGTAGTCAAAATCAGTCCAGCGAGAGTATACATATTTCCACTTTCTGGTTCAAATTGCAATGTTTGATCCTGAAAATGTCAACAATTTCAATATCCTCAATAACTTCCAAAACCACTTCAAAATTCTAAATTGGCCAAGCCATTTTAAAACTATGTCTGCATATGCTAATGCAACTAATACTAATTGTGCAAATTGCCCGACATATGCAAGTTAGCATCCAGCAGTTTCTATGTGATGGGGACCCGTAGGCCTACTAGTACATCTCTAACATACAACTTTAACCCACCGTTACTGTCAGAGCGCTGCGCCGCGTCTGCGTTAACGCTGTCCGCCTGCTCCATGGTACCGAACCGGAGGAGAGGTATCACACTGACGTTACCGGACGCCAGGCTACAAACAGTTAACGTTACCGGGCTAACGCTGTTAATGTTACCGTGCTAAAGTTTTTACCGGACTGACGTTGCTAAAGTTCCCAGGATAAGCATCGTAGACTGCGGCTCACGAGCTGTGACGATATGTATTTAAAAAGCGCGAGCTGGTTTCATTTTGTAAACTTTGACGACGTCCCGTCACATGAAACGCGGTGTTTCATAAAAATAACTCCCAGTGGAAACAAAACTATCTAAAATCGTTCCCATGCAGTGACGCTATTCAGCATAGGCTACATACTGAGCTTGTAGTATAAGACAATAATACTTTCAAAGTGAAATGTTAAACCAACTTGATTAGCGAATAAGCCACGACGCTGAAGTTGGTTTCCGATTCAGAGCATCGGATTCGGCAGAAAGTTAAGGGACATTTAATATACAGCGCTGAGCGAACAATCCTCCGTGTTTGAACCTCTTAAATCGCTGCATAGCCGATTTATTTGGACTGGATTATCCCAGAGAGTCTAAAGATTCTTTATAACCCAGTTTGGGATTTGTGAAACCTTTATTCTATTTGTGAAAATACAAAAAAGGGAGATTTCAGTGCTTTTTTCACATGTAGACCACATTAGACCAGGTCCTGATCTAAAACCACTATACCTAGACTCATCAAATCTGGACTGGATTATCCCACAGAGGCTAAAGATTCTTTATAACACAGTTTCAGATTTGTGAAACCTTAATTCTATTTGTGAAAATACAAAAAAGGGAGATGTCAGTGCTTTTTTTACATGTAGACCACATTAGACCAGGTCCTGATCTAAAACCACTAGACTTACACTCATCAAATCTGGACTGGATTATCACAGAGGGTCTAAACATTCTTTATAACACAGTTTCAGATTTGTGAAACCTTAATTTTATTTGTGAAAATGTAAAAAGGGAGATTTCACTGTTTTTTAAAAAGCTCGCTTTTTTTACTGTTTTTGTTCTGCTTTATGATTGTAATGCATGACTGTGCCAACATGTGTCTCATCCTCCCTGCTCTTGTTTGTAGGCTACACCTGCTTTTTAGGAGACCAGGCCTCAGAATTATGTTCTTTCTGCCAGTGTATCAGCGGTAAGAGTCCATCACAAACTGCAGGGTCTGTCACCCAGCAGGAGCTAGGCTAATATGCTGACAGGCACAGAGCCTTAGAACGCCACATACTCCAAAAGACAGATGATGTAGCTCACATCAGGGCACAGAGCTGCTGCAGCCTCACCTGACCCAGAAGCTCTTTGGCTAAAGCTATTGAATGTTGTGTCGGAAGCATCCTGAGGCCACAGTGGCTTCAGAACATGTATATAGTCTATCTTAAAAAACATCTTGAATGTATTCGTAGAAAGTTAGTTTGTTATTTACTGTTGCATTTAACTCTATATTAGATTCTGTTGGTTTCTGTCAGAGGTGTAAATAAACCAACCCACTGCTATAATCACACTCTCGACCTTGTTCTGACTTATGGTATTGAAATTGAGCAACTATTAGTCGAACCGCATAGTCCTGCTTTATCCGACCATTTCTTAGTAACTTTTGAAGTACTGTTACTAGACTACAAAGCATTAGTCAAAAGCTCCTGCAGCAGAAACCTATCTGTTAGTGCTAAAGCCACATTTAAGGAAGAGATTCCACCAATACTTAACTCGATAGCATGTCTGCATGTAAGGGAGGAAACTTATACAAAATGTACACCACCCCAAATTGATCATGTTGTTGATATTGCTACAGATGCGCTGCGAATAAAATTAGACTTGTTGCTACACACACACACACAC